ATTCCTGGTTTTCGGGGGTATCAGTTAGAGGGCTATGCATTGGTGGGGGGGGCCATGACATTTTGGGGGAGGGGATTCCTGGGTTTCGGGGATATCAGTTAGAGGGCTATGCATTGGTGGGGGGGGCCATGACATTTTGGGGGAGGGGATTCCTGGTTTTCGGGGATATCAGTCTTCTCATCAATCTCTTCTTCTTCTTCTCGCCAGATCAAAAACATGTGGACAGCATTTCCCCCCGATGTGGCCGGCAACGTAGACTACAAGAACATCTGCTATGTCATCACCCACGGTGAGGACAAGGACCAGGAGTAAATGGTGTGAAGGTTCACCCTGCGGGCTGTGCGCCCCGACACCCAGCGCAGCGCCCCACTGCTGTATATTGCGTATTTTGTAAATTGACCCATCAGATACAAAACTGTAATTTATTCTGTCCGGTGGGACGAAAGGGGGCCTTTGACTGGCTGCCCCGTTCTCCTTCTGCCCGGTAGCCCCGCCCTCCGGTAGCCCCGCCCTCCCGAAGCCCCGACTATTTTCTCTACGACGTCTTAAGCTGGAACCACGGAATCCTCAGGGGAAGTTCTCAATAAAAGTTCATTTTTATTCTAAATTTTCGGCTTTTGTTTGTTTTTCATGAAATGTGACAATTGTGCCGCCGTGAACCACCCCCCCAACCGGACACGCCCCGCCCCGCCCCCTGTGTGTGTGCGGAGAGGTGACGGGGGCGGTCCTAAGAGGCGGACATGTGATAGGGATGGCTTCCATCAGTCCAGTCACAGGGACGCATTGTACAACCTCCTCCTATGACTGAACAGTAAAGAGTGTCAGTTCTTGGGGTGTCCGGGGTGTGAATGGTTCAGATTTGGGGGGGTTGGGGTACAGTGTTACCTTAATAACAATACTGGAATGGAGCTGAAGGGCCCATTGTGGGGGAGGGGTAGACGACGAATGATTAGAAATACAATTGCGGGTCATTCCAACTTTCTTCAGAGGTTTCCGGGCCCATCCAACATCCTGACTGGTGTCCCTGGTATCTGTGTGACTCCCGCACAACGCACAACACACAACGCTCGGCCTACTCCTCCCCTCCGCTGTCAAAAAAAGGTCTTGCCGGTCCAGACCCAGAATGTATCATAATAAGTTATACTCCACCAATGTACTTGTGGTGCCGGCTTCCTATCCAGGAGGTCTCCCCATAATGGAGGTCTCTCTATCCAAGACATCTCCCCATAATGGAGGTCTCTCTATCCAGGACATCTCCCCATAATGGAGGTCTCTCTATCCAGGACGTCTCCCCATAATGGAGGTCTCTCTATCCAGGATTTTCTCTTGTCTCCCTATCCAGGACGTCTCTCCATAATGGAGGTCTCTCTATCCAGGATGTCTCCCCATAATGGAGGTCTCTCTATCCAGGAGGTCTCCCCATAATGGAGGTCTCCCTATCCAGGAGGTCTCCCCATAATGGAGGTCTCCCTATCCAGGACATCTCCCCATAATGGAGGTCTCCCTATCCAGGACCAGTCCATGGTATCTGTGTGACCCCTTACAAAGGGCCCAATGCTCGGCCTTCTCCTCCCCTCCGCTGTGTCAGTAAGGCCGGCCCCCAATACATAGAATCGCGGCCGTCCATTCTGTACGTAGACTCTTCCTTCATTTCATGGGATGTCTTTTACAATATAACATCTGAACCAAAGAACACTGTGACCAGTGCTGGAGAGGGAGTGACTTCCCCTTTAAGAGTAACAATTATCCCTCATCACAGAATACTTCTCCCGGTGATAAGAAGTAGAGGGAGGCGGCTCAGAGCTACAGATCCTCCACAGATCCCTCACAGATCCCTCACAGATCCCCCACAGATCCCCCACAGATCCCCCACAGATCCCCCACAGATCCCCCACAGATCCCTCACAGATCCTCCACAGATCCCTCACAGATCCTCCACAGATCCCTCACATATCCCCCACAGATCCCTCAGATCCTCCACAGATCCCTCACAGATCCTCCACAGATCCTCCACAGATCCCCCACAGATCCCTCACAGATCCTCCACAGATCCTCCACAGAGCCTCCTAAATATACCCAACAGATGTCTCATACCCATGAATAACGATGCTGCCAACACAAAACACATGCTGGACACATGAGACCCCCTGGATAGAGGGACCTCCATTATGGGGAGACCTCCTGGATAGAGAGACCTCCATTATGGGGAGACATCCTGGATAGAGAGACCTCCATTATGGGGAGACCTCCTGGATAGGGAGACCTCCATTATGGGGAGACGTCCTAGATAGAGAGACCTCCAGTATAGGAAGACCTCCTGGATAGAGAGACCTCCATTATGGGGAGACATCCAGGATAGGGAGACCTCCATTATGGGGAGATGTCCTAGATAGAGAGACCTCCATTATGGGGAGACGTCCTGGATAGAGAGACCTCCATTATGGGGAGACGTCCTAGATAGAGAGACCTCCAGTATAGGAAGACCTCCTGGATAGAGAGACCTCCATTATGGGGAGACCTCCTGGATAGAGAGACCTCCATTATGGGGAGACCTCCTGGATAGAGAGACCTCCATTATGGGGAGACCTCCTGGATAGAGGGACCTCCATTATGGAGAGACGTCCTGGATAGAGAGACCTCCATTATGGGGAGACCTCCTGGATAGACAGACCTCCATTATGGGGAGACGTCCTGGATAGGGAGTCCTCCATTATGGGGAGACCTCCTGGATAGAGGGACCTCCATTATGGGGAGACGTCCTGGATAGAGAGACCTCCATTATGGGGAGACGTCCTAGATAGAGGGACCTCCAGTATGGGAAGACCTCCTGGATAGAGGCACCTCCATTATGGGGAGATCTCTTATTTGTGTCACTCAGCTGCAGATCCTCCAATCATCTCTGACACTGTCCTTCCTTCTGGAGGGGGGCTACGTCTGTTCCCCATGGTCACTCTGTGTGTTTTGTAGTCACCGCTCCAAGCTCCTCCCCCACAGGTAAACTACAATCCCATTACAAATGAGTGACCTAACCATGAGATTGTAGTCCATCCCGGGGGGGGCGGAGCTTGGGGCGGTGACTACAGCACACACAGAGGGACCATGGGGAAGAGACGTAGTCACTGTTACAATGAATGCTTTCACCCAGAATGTAGTTTTACATCTTGGGTGAAAGTTGTATGAATCTGGTGTGAAAGAAATAGACCCCCAAAGACAAGCGAGGCCCCCGGGACTGAGCTGAACAGGAAGACGACAGTTTAATCATTCCTAAGCCGCCATGATGACCCCTTCACCGCCGGGACTGTACAGAGACCACAGAGGGGCATACGGGGTGCCGGCGCCGACCTCGAGACTGAACATGTCACATGTCAGGCTGTGCCAATGTCTGAAACAAGCATGCAGCCAGTGAAGTCAGCCAGGTAATCAGGGAGGGGCCAGCAATGGCAGCAGACAAATCCATACAAGCTTCAAGACTCCGCAGATATAGATGTTGGGGTTGCAGGGAGTGAAGATGTGGGGGTCACAGATATAGATGTTGGGGTTGGAGGGGGTGAAGATTTGGGGGTCACAGATATAGATGTTGG